AGAAAGAAAGAAAGAAAGAAAGAAAGAAAGAAAGAAAAAGAAAATCTGCCATTTCTGCTAAGCTAGCAAATATAAAAGCTCAAAAGTCAATGTTCTTGCAATGAATTTGGATACATGGCTTGATAAAAGGAGTGTGACAGTACAGAACACTGATATCTCTTCTCTAAAACTGATATAGTGGAGAAAGGAATTTGTGTAAACAACCACCCTTCAAGTACGGGATTTTTTCTTCTTTTAATCTGCTCTTTCTTACAGAGATATGTAAAGCGGCAGCATGAGAAAACATAATGATAAAATTTTAAGTATATTTAATGTGAGAGATTTAGTTTCAAGACACAGTCTCTGATCCATATTTCAAAAGAGATAGAGCAATTTGGATCCAGCCTTCACACAAATGACAAAACTCTGGAAATCTTGGACAGACAGATTCCATTTTACATAAAGACCTGGATTCCCATTCCCATTTATGTAAATGTTTCATGATTAAAGTATCCTAAAAAATCAGAAAGGAAGCATTGGGAGCCCAAACCTAGGGTTTCAGACACTATTCTAAAAATCTTCGGACTTTAATTCACAAGTCATTTCCCCACAAGAACACAAGTATCTCAAAGCATCAGTAATATAAAAAATTACTATTACCTTGCTGCTTGAGTTTATTTCTTTTCTTTAAATCCATCAAAATTATTTATTCTTTAATTAATCTTCTAATTTTAAAATGTTGATAATTTTTTTAAGAAAATGCATTTCAAAATTATCATAAATTATGCATATTCATAACATCAATCCAGAATTAAATTGTATTTTTCTCTAATTTTCATCAGTAGGAGACAGCTGCTATAAAATAGCTCATGATTAAGTGCACCACATTGAGAATGGGATTTACCTCATCTAAATTTAGCCACCTAAGAGTTTGGCAACAGTGAGGTATTCCAGAAAGGTAGCTTTAGCCATTCAAGCTAATCTTTCTAGGCTCCCTCTGTAGTTTTCTACAGATTCAGAGCCAAAAGGTAGAATTGCACTGCACTGACCCTTGAAAGCCTCAGAAAATACTTCTCCTTTGTCCTACACACCTTACTAGCCCTCCTTGTCTTTAGTCTAGTCATAAAGTTTTCTTTGATAACTCCTAGAGACAAAAAACATCGCACCTTAAAACAGATGGAGTAGACAAAGCTACAGAATATTGTGAGCTTATAGGCTGAGTTGCTTTTCCCCCTCCATTGCTAAATACAGTTTCTGGAAAAAAATCCAGAGAAAGACAATTAACTTAATGAAAGATACTGACAGTATTAAGGTACTGACAGTATTGAAGCAGCTTATGGCTGTGTCTCTCAGAAAGATATTCAAATTAAATACCTGGAATATACTGAAGAAAATAATGTGTACTTCCTTTTTCTGAGGTCCTGTCTTAGCTGAAATCAATAAACAAATGGATATATATCAGTTTTAAGCTTAGTCTGAAGATTTTGTTTGGACTGAAATAGTTGACTTAGAACAATGAGTGGAATGAACAATAAAAACTGTGAGGCCTCTCATTCCAGTAGTGCCTATTCCAGTAGACTGATATTGATACATTGAATGTATTAAAGTGCTATGAAAACAGTCAAAAATGGGTGAAAATATGTCACCTATTTTTAAACGAAGGCCACTTCACATAATTTAATTTATTGCATTCTTTTTTAAGAAATTCATTATTATAGTATTGGCCAAGTTATTTTAACATTTTTATGGAAACTGCAACTTTTGACACACTGGCTATACAAATTCTATGGGCTCTTTGTTGCTAAAACTACTATTATTTCAATCCATGTACAATTTCATTTTT